CATCGTCATCTGCATTTTTTGATAACAATGTTGGACCATTGCTATAGAGGTTGACAAACTATCCCAAATTTGATGAAAATAGTCCTCAATCTCCAAAGGATTTTGGCCTTTCTTTTACTCCAAATAATGACATTTGTCGAGTCTCCTTCGATAATCTTGTCGCAATTTCAAACCTTCTAATAAACCTTGTGCTTCTGGTTCATTTGCTATTGTGATGCCACAAGGACCCGGGTAAGAAAAAATAATGTGACTCCAATTATTTCTAATGAGTCCACCATAGCCGACTGGCCTTGGATTGCCAAATGAACTGCCATCAAAATTAAGTTTGAAAGAATTCACTCGTGGTGGTTTCCAAACAACCTCACTACGAGTGTTGATGGTAACACCCATATTCGCCACTGTCGAAAGATTGCTAATGATGAGACTTTTAAGAATGAAGCCACTATCCTTATGTGCAAGGAACCAATCAGCTGCAACTGCCAAAATATTCGATTTTAGTGCAGACAGATCTGCACTTATATTATCAAAGACTCTTCTATTTCTTTCCTTCCACACATTCCAAAGAAAGCTAACCTAAATAGATCTCCAAATTCCAAAGAAGGTTAACCTAAATAGATCTCCAAATGATAGTTCACGTTTTTGAAATATCGGGTGTGATCCACTTGTCAAGAAGCGATCTGACATTTTAGGGCAAAGTTAATGACAGATTGAGGCACTGGCAAGCCCAATCCCAAAGATAAATAACAAATGGGCATGATAGAAAAAGATGTTGCGAAGTTTCATCACTGGCTTTGCACATGATACATACATTGGTGATAATAAACCACATCTTTCTCAAGTTGTCAACAGTTGCTAATTTATCTTGACACATGATCTACTTTAAGAAGCACATGTAATTTTTTAATCTTGAATAAATCAACATCTAATTCTTTCCAACGATCAGAAAATAATGGTTTGTAGGTTAACTTAACCGAAAAGTCTTCCTAAGGGGTAAGATCCCAACTAAATCTATCATCCATATTTGGAGTCAAATATGTGTCATTCAATAATTCCAACTATGTCTGATACTCCTCAATGAATCTGTCTGTACCTCTTCTATACTTGCATGAAACGGACCAAACAATATTAGTATAAACACCCCCATTAGCCTCCTTGACAAATGCTAGAGAGTTTAAAGCTTTTGAGAAAAACTAGGGGAAAAGGTATATCAACGGTTCATCTCCAATCCATTTGTCAAACCAAAAGAGAGTGGATTCTCCATTCGCCACTATTTTTCAGAATTGCCATATATACATAGATCTCTCATAGTCAATACCTCTCCAAACATGAGACAAACTTGTCTTGTTTCTTTGACTTTTAATGAAGCCAAAATTCAAATTCATTCCATATTTTTCTCTCAGAATAAGCACTTAGAAAGACTTAGGTTGTGTGTAGATCGTCCACCACCATTTTACTAAAAGCGCCGAGTTCTTATGTTTCAATCTCCTAGCACCCAATCCCCCCTCCTTCATTGGTCTACAAACTTTTTCCTAACTCACCAGATAAAATCTCATCTTTCTTATGTCATTTCCTCACAAGAAATTTCTCATAATTATTTTCAGTTGTTTTTCAACTTCTTTTGACATCTTAAATAAATACATAAAATATACTGAGAGGTTAGACAAAGTGGATTTAATCAACGTATATCTTCCCCCATAAAAAGAGCTTTAGCTTTCCAAGTGTTCAGTTTCTTCTCAAATCTCTCCATCACCGAATTCCAAATTGATCTCGAAGGCATTGAATCTACTAGGGGCATTCTCAAATAAATATTTCCCAAATAAGTAGAAGGTAGTAACTTAATACCACAACCTAATAAATATGTCATTATTGATACTACCATTTGCGGACAGCCAATACCAATGAACTTGATTTGAATATACCAATGAACTTGATTTTACTCAAATTAACTTTAAATCCAATTGAGAATTTTACATTTTTCAAAAATATCATGAGTGACGTTCAGGAGGCCAATTGCCAACATCTCCTTGTTCCCATCCACCTGATAATTCTTCAGCGCTGCGAAGGTCCTACCCACCGCTACACCCTCCTGCAAAAAACATATAATATATCACCGCCTCAAAATCCTCTCTCCCTCTCTCATGTTTTGAAGTCCTTAAACTTACAGTGAGAGAGATGATTCCAGTCACGGCTCCTGTTTTCCCAAGTAAGTGAAATCTGTTTTTACATTGCAAAGACAATAAATAAAAACACCAGAAAGTTAATATCTTTATATTTTATCTTTATATTTTACTGCACAAATGAGAAAATCTCAAAATTTTGCACTCTCTTTTTTACTCTGAATATTAAAAAGTTTATCTCTCTTACTGCGCAGATTCCGTGTTTCTGAGCTTTGAGGGCAAAAACCAGAAGTGTCGATATGAGGACAGAGGCCAAGGGAACCGCTACTGAAACCCAAAACAGCTTCGGTTTTCTCATGCTCTGCGTAAAAAACAAGAAATATCTCAAGTTAATTACCTGGGAAGAAATCTAATAAATGCGAATTATTAAAGATGCAGTTTGATGCGATGATGGCAATGAAATTACAGTGAAAAAACCAATCGTTTTAATTTAGTGTATAAGTACATAATGCAACATATTCTACACGTTTGTGACGATGGGGCTTACCATGTGACTCGTTATAAGATGTAAACCCAGGAAGCAGATGCCCATGAGATTGTTTGCCATGCCCAATGTAGAGGAAGAGAGATAGAAGGAGAGAGAGGTGAGAAAAAACTTTTGTTTCTCATGAAGGAGAGAGGGTAGTCGCCACGGTATTTATAAGAAACAATAGTTTTTCTCAAATAGCTTAAATAAAGCTCAAGATGATGATGATAAAAGTTCAATTCAGATCTCTCTCTCCTAGATTAACTAGGAGTTGGATGGGATTACATTCCCAAATTCGGGGTTCTAAATTTTCTTATATAATGGATTTTACCCAAGAGAGTAAATAGACAGCATATTCCTACTGGACAATAAAAATCTTTCAGCCTGTTATATCATGCCTATGATCCTCATGACCGTAGATTCCCTGTGGTTATGATAATCGTGATAACCTTTCACTGAAGAAAGTACTGTTTTATTAGGGAAAAACAATATGTTGCTTAAATTGAGGGTGATAAACCCAGGTGTGACAAAAATATCTTGTAACCTTTCCCTAGGACCGATTACATCATGAAGAATTAATATTCAAAGAGGAACACTAATATTCAAAGAGGAACACCCTAACCCAAAACGAAGAATTGAATGTCACAAAATTAAGAGGAATGCTTTCTTTTGTATGTCAAAAAAGAAACAAAAAAGTCACCCTAAATGTTCTGATTCTCTTTTCGTTTATCCTTATTTTCATTGGAAATAAAAGAGAAGTAAAAGATTAAGGAATGTTCCTTTGAAGACACCAATCTCCATCGTGGGAATTACAGACAATGGAGATGATTGCCTGATAACAATGACATACTTTTTTAGGGTTGTGGAACATCAAATCACCTTCTGCATCTGCAATGGCCAACAGTGGAAATCAGGGTCCTACGTTTTTACTGAAAGACCTGGCATGATTATTTGTCTTCCAAATTTTGCAAAACTTCCCTGGACTTTCCGAGAACTCAGGCAAATTTGTAAGAGCTCTGCTACTTTACCACTTAGTGTCATACCACACACGCCAACATAAGGCACTTGTCCGAACTCACAGTAATGTAATTAGAAGTTAAGCTCATGTTCTGAGGATCCATACGACAATCACAGATATCACAAAAGATGTATTTACATATTACACTAGAGAGTCGTACACAGGCTTCCCAATGCAGCTCCTCTCTCTCTCACACACACAGAACAGAGGTTTATGTGGTTGTCCACATATACACTTGACCATAACCAGTGGCACCAGCAAGTGTGCCGCTAATGCATGGGTGGGCAGCAAACCTGCAAGGGCTTGCAGTCATGTAGGTGCTATCCAGTGATGAGGTTGTTCTGTTCACAACATAGATGACATCGACTGCTCTCTTCATATTCCCCACAAACAAATATGAATCGTCCCAACCCCAAATTGCTCTGAAAATAACAGCAAACCTAAGATACATGACCATAACTAGGAGAGAGAGTTAAAACTTAGAATTTATCAAAATATACTGCAAAAGAAGCAGAATTTTGAATTAAATTAACTGGAAGGTAAAGCATGACATAATAGAGTATGATATAGCATCCACTGCCTGTTTTTGCTGATGGGTATTGGACACTGAAGCACTCAGCTGCAACATCCACCAAGGTATAGGTCATTCCAACATCTCTCATTGGAATGCACAATGGATGCCCCTTCCGACTACTGTTTAACATACTCCATTTGACTATGTGCATCTTTCATAAGGTAAATACCTGAAGAATGATTGCCCGCTATTGGCATGGTTATTGTAATGGTGAATCATTGATATCTCTGAAAAATCTACTCCACTGGAAAGTCCAACTCTATTATCCAAACTGCTACAGAAATTAAGGAAAAAAAGTTCAGGAAAGCCATCTTCCAGTCTCATTGTAATAGTGGATCATTGATATCTCTGAAATATCTACCCATGTGATAGACCAACTATATTATCCAAACTCCAAAAGTAATTAGGAAAAGAAACATTTCAAAATGAATACATATATATATATAGGAAAAAGTTTTTGTCAACCCAAGGGCTGATGCAATAGTATACACCCATTGGCCCCAAAACCGATCGGATGCCCACATTTGGGTTTGTCTTTGAATTTGTTATTTTGGTTTTACAAATCTAAATCACTTAAAATATTGAGCGTCTACTGTTTAAAAATAGGCAGACTTAATAAACAATTCAAAAAATAAATTATCCAAAATACCCCTGAAAGTTCTATGTATATTTTGGTCAATTTATTATCTGTAAATTATTTTTTAATAGTTTTATTAGGTGTGCCTTAATGAAAAAAGTGGACACTCAAAATTTCAAGCGATTTAGAATTTTAGAAAAAAGATTAAAATTCAAATATAAAATTACATCGTGATCGTCAAATCAACCCAAATTCAATCAAGGCCATTGGGCATACACTATTGCATCAGTCATTGGTCGTATAAAGGCCTTATGAGAGCATTTAACCAAATTTACTATAGTAGAACAATAAACTCAAGTGGGAGTATGGTCCAGAGAGACCAAAGATGGCAATATTGTTTTGTCGAGACTCAAACTAGCCTTGACAAGCTAGGTCAGTCGAATACTAAAACCCTAAATACCTGGGCATAGAGCACAACCGATGAGGGTTAGCAAGGTTATCCCTTGATAAAGTCAGAGTTGCCCAAGGTAGAGAGCCAAGGGATTATATGACCCTTTGTGATTTGTAGGCCTATAGGGACGAGAGCCAAAGCATCATCTTATACCATCACACAACAAGTACACATAATAGCCATATCGAGAAGCAAATCATCATTGACGGTGATACATGTACATGTGCGAGAGATAAGCCCCATATTTTAAAATCAATAATATAAAAAAAAATAGCAATCATTTTCTAAAAATCATTTTCGTTATTTTAAAATCAATAATATACATGGGGGCACATTATACTCCATCTGCCCCACTAGAATAATTGCATGTGGGCGGTATGTAGGACCCACTTGGCACCTCATGAGAGGCACGCCCCATACATCGATATTCTTTCATATTTTGTGGTACACCAAAATTAGCCACTCAATCAATTTGATTTGAAAAGGAAAGTTTGTGCAATTAAAGAGATTTAAATTTTCAAAAGAGCATGTGTAAGAGCCAATATGGAAAATTAATAAAAAGAGAAATATATTTCCCATATTATGCATATTCGATGGGATAAGGTTAAGGAAGTTTAAGGATAAGGTACTAGCACCTTCTTTTTAATCATGATGGTTGATCAAAGGATTGTAAGGCTAAGACCTCTCACTCCACTGGTCTCCCATGATCAATGGTCTGGATCTATTCTCCATAAAGATGGCTAACCCTAGAAAACCCTAACTCTTAGGATGAGTCTATAAATAGTTGCTATGGGGGTCCCAAATATCTACACCTTTACTTGGCTCTCTTTCTCTCTCCCTCACAAGGTGGCACGCTACCCTCTCTCTCATCTCTCTCTAGAGCTCTCTAAGAGCTAGAAATATTTTGTAAGAAAAAGAAAGAGGGGGCACGCCCCAGTTCTTGAGCTTTGAGTAGGTGAGCCCCATGCAATACCTAAGCCTAGTTTTGTTCCACTTTGCTCTCTGTGATTGAAGGGTTCATAGCCTAGACTTCCCATACTTATAAGATTTTAGAAAGACCTTGATCCCCTGAGCCATGGGAGAAGGAGACCCGGAGTAGGGTGTATCAAGTCCAATTGAGGTCATCTTTTGGCACATTGTTTTCTGTTTATGCAGTTTGTGTTTCTTGATCCCAACCAAGTCTTATGGATTTTTGTTATTGAAACAAGAGAGTTTTATTAAAAGGCAGCAAGTGAGAATCTATTTTGTAATTCATCTTTTGTTTATTTTGAGTTTATTTTGTATTTGGAACCTAGTAAGTGTTTAGCCAGTAGAAAAGAGAAAAATTAAAAACCGCATACACCATGCTAGTTCACCCTATCCAACTTTCAAATACAACACTGGTTAGGATTTGCGGTTTGGTTCAAGTTGAAAGCTCTAAAAGGACAAGGAGAAGACCCAAAAGAACATGAATGAAAGTAGTGGGAAGAGATATGGTGGCTTATGGTTTTACTGAAGGTATACCCTTGATAGAGAAGAATGGAAGAAACAAGATTTATTTAGTCCATCCCATATAGTTGGGACAAGGCTCGGTTGATGATGATGATAATATACATATAGAGTCAGTATGTAAAAGTGAGAAGCAAGAAAGTACAATACAATCCAATGGACTCGGAAAGCCATCGTCCAAAGCAGAGCAATCATCATCCAATAAAATGTTGGGTGGCAATGAAGTGCAAGCTATTAAGCACAATGAAGGAGATTGTGGCTCTCCCTTATATGAAAATTAGAGTTAAACAGTTCAAGAAATGTTATTATCTAATCAAAAGTTTGACAAATACAGAGCCATTAACAATTTAGGCATGCAATATGGTTAATTACTCATTAAACAACAGTCTGCAATTTTACTTTATATGAAAATCCAAGCATCTGATTCAAGGTTTATAAATGACCCTTAAAAAGTTTTAAATACATTAAATACAAACTTACACAGCATCTGGACAACTTTAACTGTAAGAAAATTTCTAGTTATGAAATTCTTTTTTAACTCATTTGCATCATTGTACAAAACTACTTTATTTTCTGCATGTGGAGTATGATCTAGGAAAGCTAGGTCCCAATATTAGCACTTTGGGACCCTTGACATCCCTTAGCTCTCAAGAAAGGACCCACTAACATTCTTTGCTTACAATCTTCTAGACTTAATCTCTTCATGAAGTACACCACATCACCTTTCCAATTCAGTGGAAACAATATGTCTTATACGGTAAAACATTATTTGCTTACAATCTTCTAGACTTAATCTCTTCATGAAGATACCACATCACCTTTCCAATTCAGTGGAAAAAATAGGTCTTACAAAGTAAGAGATTCTTCTTCTGCATCATTGCGCAATTTCTCTATCTTCTGACTAGGTATATAATCTCGAAATGCAAGTTCTCAATATTAGGACTTTGGGAAACTGCAACAACTCTTAGATTCAAGAGAAGGATCCATCAACAATCCTGGGGTACATCTTTCATCAATTTCGTCAATGCCTTACTTCTACCTCTCCACCATAGCTGAAAAGACGAATGTTTTATAAGTTTGAGATTCTTGATTACCTTGAGTTAGACTAAACTGAGTGGAAGGGGCAAAAGCTAAGGAAATCGATGGATATCATCTTTGATATATAGGAAAAGATAATAATAAAAATAACATAGGTATAATAGTAGACGAATATTTAAAAGATAAAATAGTTGATGTCAAGAGAGTGGGTGATAGGCTCCTATTAATTAAACTTGTGTTAGGGGATGAGATAATTAATGTAATTGGTGCTTGTGTACCACAGGTAGGACTAGATGATAGAATTAAGAGACAATTTTGGAAGTACATGGTGGACTAGTCCAAGGATTACCAAATGGAGAGAGGGTTTTTATAGGAGGGGACTTAAATGGTCATGTAGGAAAAGATAGTAAAGGATATAAAAGGGTAAATGGGGAATATGGCCCTAGGGAAAGAAAATAGATGAGTGATGTTATTTTGGATTTTACTGGCTTACAACCTAGTAATTGCAAACACCAGCTTTCAAAAGCAAGATGAACATTTAATAACTAACAAAAGTGGATCATATAAAAGCCAGATAAACTTCTTTCTAGTTAAGAAGGCAGATCGGCCATCATTAAAGATTGTAAGGTTATCCTAGGAGAGAATTTAACCACGCAAGATTGTAAGGTTATCCTAGCATAAAGAGATAGAAGAGAAGGAAATTAATAAGTGTCCAAGAACTAGGAGGCAGAATTTAAAAAGGGAGAAAATAGATTGTTTAAGAATAAATTGGTAAAAAAAGGAAAATAGAATTTTGAGCACAAAGTTATTGTTATGTTTATGTGGAATGACATGTCTTTCTGTATTAAAAAAGTCGCAAGAGAAGTTTTAGGAGAAACTATAAGGAAAAGAAGTCCCGATAAGGAAATTTTGTGGTTGAGTGATGAGGTTTAAAAGGCTATCAGTGAAAAACGATCATGTTATAAAGCTTGACAATATAATAGAAATGATCAAAACCTAGAAGAATATAAAAATATTACGAAAAATGCTAAGAAAATAATAAGGTTAAACTTAATGTATATAATGTCTATACAATACACTAGGAACAAGAGAAGGTGAAAAAGATGTCTTCAAATCAACAAATATGAGAGAGGAAGTATAAGGATCTAAATCATATTAAATGCATTAAAAGTGAGGATCAGAGGAATTGATGAAGCATGATGAAGTTAATAAAATATGAAGAATTAATTTTCAAAAAATTGTTAAATTGCAAACACTGTAGGAGCACGGAGTTATGAAGAACCTTAGAAATAAATGAGGTCGGACGCCATAGATATATTCATAGGATTAGGATATCTGAAATGAAACAAACCTTAAGAAAAATGAAGATAGGAATAGCTTTAGGATCGATGCAGCCCAAAATACTGCTTTTAAGTACCCACAAAATGATAAATTAGTCATTGAGTCTATCCTTTTGTCTTTTATGTATTTATTACGTCTTTTTATTCACTTAGAGGCATAAGTAGTAACCCGAGCCAAGCCCGGCTTGAATGGATAAGGAAGAATAATGCATTGCAGCAGTGGACAGGAGGGAAACCCATCAATGTCATCTACTTGTTGAGAGAGTGATATTCAATACAGTGCAGACAAGGACAACCCCAGACAGACTTCAGCTCAACGTACCTATGAGACGAATGACATGTGTTCAGACCAGCAAAGCCCGAGACATAACATAGCCCCACAATCACCGGGAGAAGTCAGAGTCTCAAGTGCGTAGAGGCTACCTGAGAAGGGACAATCGAGTTTAGACGTATATTATTAGGTCATGTTGGCAAGATATATGATGGGCTACTATGTCCTGCGGTTTGTAGAGGACTCAACAATTAGTTAGCAACCCCTTGATTAACGTAGGAACATGACCAACGAGGTATGACCTAGACGAATGAATTTTTACCCAAGACCCAAAAGAGGTAACATTGGATCTAGAGACCTTTATGTTTCTCCTGACAGTGGTAGGACATAGCTTTTGTCTCTCAGGTAGGGCATAGCACAGTAATCCGCAATGAGAGATTGGTCCCTCGCAACCATGAAAGAATTTATAACAAAGAGTTATGATTACTTTAGATGGATGGCCAAGATTAAGGCTTGTTTAGGGTTTTCTAATATAAAGGATGTGCTCACGCATAATGGATGATGTGATGAACTTTTATTCAAAACTCGATATCAACAAGTGCTCCTTCTTTTACCTTTGGTTTTTTAATCTCTCTCAATTTCTGGATCGTCCCAATATCCTTCTTTGCTAAAACCCTAGCTCAAGCTCCTAGGATTTCTTCAAGTTGGTATCAGAGTCCGATGATCAGTAAGGACAGTACTGCAACACAGTATTGTAGCATGGTATGGAAGCACAATACTATATAGCATGTTACTGTAACACATTATTGTAGCACAGTATTGTACCATCAATTTTTGTGTCGAGATCAACAGTCATACCTCCACGCAAAGGAAAAGGAGGAAAAGTGACAACCATAGAAGCTTTTGATGCTAGTTTGTAAGAAGGGATTGCAAATATGAGGAGACTAGTTGAAACCCTAGCTCTGTGTTTGGCGTAGATGAAAGCCCATCTCAAGAATATGAGAAGCCCCATCTCAAGAATCTGAGATCGAGGCAGATGAAGAATCCATAAATCCCTTCCATGATCAAGCTCCAAGGACAGAGCTAGATGATTGTACAGATAGGGATAGTAGGAGGTGGGAAACGGGTCTCAAGGCTGAGATCCCAAAGTCTATGGAGGTTTAACGGTTTAGGAATTTATTGATTGGCTGAATACAGTGAAGCGGATATTGGAGTTACAAGGAGGTTACTGAGAAAAAGAAGCAACTTTAGTCACGGTAAAGTTTAGGGGACAAGCTTCGGCCTAGTAGGAACAATTGAAGATGACACGTACACAACTAGGAAAGCCAAAATTCATAGATTGGGCAAAGATGAAGCATAAGGTAAAGAGGCTTTTCTGCCATTCAATTACTTGCATACTCTATATTAATGTTTAAATAATCTTCGACAAGGAAGTAGGTTGGTCGATGACTATATGGCAGAGTTATATCAGCTGGTTTCATGTACTGAGCTTTCTGAGGATGATGACCAGCTGGTAGCGCGATATACTAGAGGTCTTAGGTAGTCTCTACAGGATCTGTTGAATCTCCACACCTTCTGGACTGTATCTGAGTCATATCAGCATGCCTCGGTAGTGGAGACACAACAAAACCGAGATCAATTCAGATCTGGAAATATGCCAGCAGTAGGGGCCAGATTTGGGCCAAGGTTTGGACAGGTGCAGAAGCAGGTTGTGGGAGTCTGGCAGCGACAATCTGGGGTCCAGAGAGGGGCCGCAGCCCCACAGATGGGGCATCCTATTGGTCAGGGCCAGAAATTAAGAAAACAGGTTGGTAGTTCGACAATAAAGTGTTTCAAGTGCGGAAAACAACTCTAGCCGAGAGGGAAAACAACTATTGATCGAAGAGAACGATTCAATTGATGCAGATGTCAGTGTTGATCATGTTTTTGATGATTACGGTGATGAAGAGGTCACTTCTTCATGGAGATGTTGGTGAAGAAGCATTAGTGGCCAGAAGGAGCTTTTGGGGCCAAAAGAGGACACACAAGAAGATTGGTTGCAAACCAATATATTTCGTGCACAATTGGAGGAAAGGTTTGTACCATGGTGATTGATAGTGGCAGTTGCGAAAATGTTGTGTCAGAGAAGGCCGTGACAAAGCTGCATTTGAGAGTAAAATGCCATCCACATCCCTACAAATTGTCCCAGTTCAAAAAGCGCAATGAGATAGCAGTCTCTAAATGTTGCCTAGTTTCTTTTTCCATTGGCCAGCACTATAATGACAATGTGTTGTGTAACATGGAATGGATGCATGTCATGTCTTGTTGGGGAGCCCTTGGCAGTATGATAGGCATGCCATACATGATGGGTGCAAGAATACTTTACCTTTGGAAGAATAATCTGAAATTTATTCTAGCCCCATTCAAAGAGCTTGGACCAAAACCTAAACATCGGGAGGGTACCAATTTTCTTTCTTTGGCCAGATTTACAGAGCAAATGAAGGAATCTGGGGTTGCGTTTGCCCTTAAAGGTGACGAATAGTGGTTGAACCACTTGTTCAATAGTGGTCGAACCACTTAAAGCTGATGAATCCAAGGTCCGAGCAATTTTAGATTGGCCAGCGCTGAAGTCGATCCATGATGTGCATAGTTTTCACAGTCTAGCCTCATTCTATCAGCACTTCATACATTATTTCAGCACTATTATGGCACCTCTCACTGATTGTATAAAGAAAAAAGTCCTCTAATGGACCCCACAAGCAGAAAAGAGCTTCACCGAGATCAAGTTGAGGATATCGGTAGCACCAGTGTTAGTGCTTCCAGACTGTGACAAAGTCTTCGGAGTAGATTGCTTCTAAGGTCGGTATTGGTGCAATGTTAAGTCAAGATGGTAGGCCCGTAGCTTATTTCAGCGAGAAATTGAATGGCACCAAGCAGAGGTATTCTGCTTATAATGTCGAGTTCTATGCTATTGTGCAAACTTTAAGAGACACTACCTGATCCAACAGGAATTCATTATTTATTCCGATCACGAGGTGTTAAAGCACATTAATGGCCAGCATAAGTTGAATCATCGACATGCCAAGTGGCTGGCATACCTTTTACCCTGAAGCATAAATCCAGTGCACAAAATAAGGTGGCGGATGCACTGAGGAGAGCCTCTTTGCTTACTACTATGCAGGCTCAAGTGTTGGGCTTTGACACTTTCCGAGACCTTTTCTCAGCAGACACACACTTTGGGACAATTCTTCAGGAGGTTGATTTAGGCCGGCGTGATGATTATGTTGTGCATGATGGGTTTCTTTTCAAAAGGAATCATCTGTGTCTTCCTGATTGGTCTTTGAGGCAGCAAACTATCCAAGAGTACATGGCGAGGGAAACTTTGGCAGAGATAAGATTTTGGCTTTGGTTAGTGATGATTATG